GGGCTAACTTTGTTTATTGAATAAGAAAATATATTATGGGCTGGACAGATGGCTTTGTGTGGTCAGAGTGCTGACTATGCAAGTTTGAGGACCTGAGTTCAGATCCCTGGGACCCATGTAAAAAGCCAAGTGGGGCTGCATGTGCTCATGACCAGCACTTGGGGTGGTGCTGGGGTGATGGGCAGGGTAGGCAAAGACTGGAGGGTCTCTGAGGCTTGCTGGCTGCTCCATGCTCAGTGATAGACCTTGGCCTCAAGGGAGTAAGGCAGCATGATAGAGGAAAACACCTGATACCTTCTGGCCTCCCTGTGTACATGAGCATGTGGGTATACATGCATACCTCCCTCCCCAACCAAAAAAGGAATATGTGCTAAAACATTAAAACCAGATTTGGGATAAGATCAATAATATAGAAAACAGATGAAACTGAGGTTGGTCTTTCATGTCTGTAAATCTTAGCACTTGGGAGGCTGAGACAGGAGGATCACTGCCAGTTTGAGGCCACCCTGGGCTACAGAAACTCTGCTTCAAAACACCAAACAAAATCAGACCTGGGGTTGCTTGCTTAGCATGCATAAGACCCTAGGTTTAATCCCCAGTACTACACACACATACACAAACACACACAAAGCTGCTAAAAATTTGAAAGTATACATGATTTATACTGAAGTAAATGGGGAACCCTGCTTTACAAATCCACACAGTTTTTGGAACCTGGGCAACAGAAATGATAGGAAGGGGCCGGGTGTGGTGGTGCACACCTTTAGTTCCAGCACTTGGGAGGCAGAGGCAGGCATGTCTCTGTGACCAGGCCAGTCTGATCTACATAGTGAGTTCCAGGCCAGCTGGGGCTACCTGGAGATCCTGTCTTAAAAAGACCAAAAAAGTAAAAGGAAAAAGAAATTACAGGAAGTAAAGACATACCTTAACATCTTAGTGCTCTTAACAACAAACTATTAGCTCTCTACACAAGTCAGTATGTGTAGACCACAGGATATTAGACCTTAAGGCGAAGGTCAAATGGAGGATTTCAAGGGAGAAAATAGTATGCTTATATTTGCATTTCATTGAAAAATGATCAGGTTAACAAAAGGGGTAACCTACCATGAGGGTGGAGATTTAGGAGAAAGAATTTTTGGGACTCTTCTAATCCCACAGTCTAAGCGTGGCTAGACATGTATCTTCAACATGAGTTGGCAGAAGAGAATGGAGGAGTATTGAAGAAGTGTCCCAATCACAGAGCTCATGAGTGGTAAAACTCCAGTCACATCCAATTCAGTGGCAGTGCTCTTTAGTACCCCATTACCACCAACTCTCTGCTGTGCTGCTCAGCCACATTTCACCTCAGAAATTGGGGACAAAGGAAGTATGGAAAGAAGGAGAGGGCACCATGGTAGCTGATCAGTGCTGAGAAGGGAGGCTTGGTTTGGTTTAAAAAAAATGTATTTCGTGTATATGAGTGTATTGCTTGCATGTATGTAAGTACACCCCAGTCATGCAGTACCTGCAGAAGACAGAAGAGAGCATTGGATTCCCTGGAACTGGACTCGTTAGCCACCAGGTGAGTGCTGGGATTTGAACCTTCCTCTGCAAGAACAGCCATCTTAACCACTGATCCATCTTTCCAGCCCATTGGTTTAGCTTTGAGCATTGTGGTTAAGACCCTTGTGCAGACCAGTAAGAGACATCGGACAAATTCTTAGACAACTGTGGTTCATAAGTGTAGGCTTGAAGTGAAATTGAGAATCGTCAAATAAAGATGAAAAGCCCCAGGAAGAATGTGGAGCATTGTTTCTGGAATCCAGGGGAATGCCAATTTATATTAGAGTTGACCAGTGCAGTGGCTTATGCCTAGCAGCCATCCAGAGGCTGAGGATCACCATGAGTTTGAGGCTAGCCTAGACTAGAAAGTGAGACCTCATTTGAAAAGCAAAAACAAGCTGGGTACGGTGGCACATGCCTTTAATCCTAGCAAAGGCAGGTGGATCTCTGGGATCAAGGTCAGCCTGGGCTTCATAGTGAGTTCCAGGCTAGCTATGGCTACAATGAAGACCATATCTCAAAAAGACCAAACAAGCCAAAAAAGAAAAAAAGTGGGCTAAGGTAGAAGAAAAAAGCTGAGTAATTTGGAAGGAAAAACTGAAAGTGATATAATAAAGAATTCAAGAAGGACAAAAGTTGAGGGGTATGGGAAATGCTGAAAGGATGGAAAGGAAAATGGGGGCTAAAAAGCATCTTCTTAGATGCGGCAAGTAGAGCGTAGTTGAAATGAAATAGTTCTTTGATAATCTTTCAGGATATTCTTTGCATGTGGTGTCAGGAAACTGCTGCCTTCAATGCAACAGCCTCTGGGAAGAGGAGGTGGATAGATGTTCCTGGCTTTCACCGATACCTTTTAATCATCATCATCATCATCATTATGATCATGATCCTCATCATCTTCCTTTTAATAATTTTGAGACTCAGTCTCATGATGTAGTCTTAGCTGGCCTGGAACTTGCTTATGGTAGACGATGGTAGCCTTGAACTAACAAGAGATCTGCTTGTCTCTGCTTCCCAGGTGCTGAGATTTTTATTTACTTTGTTTTCACTTTATTTATTTATTTAATTATTTATTTATTTATGGGCTGGAGGGATATCATAGCTGTTAAAGGCTAAGGCTAACAGCCAAAACATTAAAAATTTACTTATAAGCCAGGTGTGTTGCACACCGTTAGTCCTAGGCAGATCTCTGTGAGTTCAAGGCGAGCCTGGTCTACATAGTGAGTACCAGGCCAACAGGGGCTACAGGGACACCCTGTCTCAATTTTTTTAAAATTTATTTTTATTTTTATGAGTATGAATGTATTGCCTGCATGTGTGAAAGCACACCCTTGTCGTGCAATGCCCGAGAAGGTCAGAAGAGGGTGTTAGATCCCCTGGAACTGGAGTTACAGACAGTTGTTAGCTTCCATGTGGGTGCTAGGAATTGAACCTGGGTCCTCTCCAAGAGCAGCCAATTCTTTTAACTTAAACAATTTTTAACTCATAAGAATATGTTAGTGGGACTGGAGAGATGGCTCAGTAGTTAAGAACACTTGCTGTTCTTCCAGAGGACTCAGGTTTGATTCCCAGAACCCACATGGCAGCTAACAACTATCTGTAACTCTAGTTCAGGGGATCTGACACCTTCTTGCCTCAGCAGAGCATCCCACACACATGGCATACTTACATACACGCAGGCAAAACACTCATACACATAAAAATTAAAAGGAATATGTTAGTTATTCAGGACCAGCAAGATGGCTCAGTGGGTCAAAGCACTTGCTGTGAAAGCCTGATGATTTGAATTTGAGCTCTGAAACCATGGTTACACACATACACACACACACACACACACAAACATACATACATACAAACACACTGATAACAAAAATTCCAAGAATATAATATTCAACAAATTAAAAATATTTCTAAATGAAATATAGAAATTAGCAGTTATTTCCCATTTTAATGTACTGTGATCGTTAGTGCTTCTGTGTTATCCTTTTATCATACATCTGTTTCCCTCTTTAGGCTGCAGGTTTCTGGAGAGCAGAATTTCTCACTACAGCTTAGCATAAGAGCATGACATATAGGCTTGGAATGTTGGTGTATGCCTTTAATCCCGGGTAGATCTCTGTGAGTTTGAGGTCAGCCTGGTGTACACATAGAGCTGTGGGCCAGATATACAATGAATGCTTATGACTGTTTAGTAAGTAATTGGTCTCTACCCTTCTTGGTTATACAAGTTTAAAAAAAATTTTTCATTTTTTTATGTGTTTGAGGGTATTGCCTACATGTATGTAAGTGCATCTGTGTTGTGCAGTGCCTGAGGAAGTCAGAGAAGGCATCGTTGGATCCCCTGGAACTGGAGTTACAGATGGTTGTTAGCCCCCATGTGGATACTAGGCATCAAACCTAGGTCTTCTTCAAGAGCAGCTAATGCTCTTAACTGCTGAGCCATCTTCCAGCCCCTGGTTATATAAGTTAATTTTGTTTTTTTGAGACAGGGTTGCCCTGTAGCCCTTGCTGACCTGGAACTCACTGTGTAGACCAGGCTGGCCTCTAAATCCCAGAGATCCACTTGCCTTTCCCTCCCAGGTGCTAGGATTAAAGGCATGCACCACACAGAGGTTTTACAACTTATTTTATGTGTATGAGTGTTTTACCTGCATATTTATCTGTGCAACATGTGCATGCAATGCCTGCAGAGACCAGAAAAGGGTGTTGCATCCCGTAGAACTGGAGTTATAAACAGTTGTTAGCTGCCATGTGGGTGCTGGGAATCAAACCTGGGTCCTCTGCAAGAGCAGCCAATGCTCTTTAACTACTGAGGCATCTCTCCAGCCCCCCCCCCCCCAGCTTTTAGAAAAAAAATTAAAGAAATTTTATTGTGTGCATGTTGTGCATATATGGGGGTATGTGTGCCACAACATGAGTTTGGAGGTCTGAAGATAGCTTTTTGGAGTGGGTTTCATCTTTCTGTTTTACATGGTTTCAGGGGTTGAACTCAGGTTACCATGCTTATATGGTGAGTGGCTTTACCTGCTGTGCCATCTTCACAGTCCCTGCTTTTTCTTTTTTAAGGCAGTCTTTTGTAGTCCAGGCTGGCATTGAACTCTCTATGTAGCCAAGGATGACTTTGAACTCCTGATCATCCTGAGTGCTAGGATTACAGGCATGTGCTGTGTGCTTGCCTTTTGTTAGTTAGCCTGGTTTAGAGGCACTCCTGTTGCTTATCCCTATGCTTGGAGTTGGGAGAGAGAAGATGGCAGCAGTAACCACTGCCTTGCTAAAGGTATGGCAAGCCTGCTTGTTGTGCAGTTTCAAAATGACCTGAGATGATGTGGGTCTACTTTAGAGAGTCCTGTCTCTGCCTCCCAAATGCTGAGATTAAAGGTTTGCACTACCACACTTAGCTTAAATTTTAAAAGTAAAATGTTATAATTCTCTAATTCAGCATTGTAATTTTATTGCAGGATAAATAAAAAAGAAAACGGGGAAGGAGCAAAGGATTGATTACAGATGTAATAATAATGAGCAAATGTAGCAGGAAAAAGTGTATTAGGACAAATGTAAGGTAGGTGTGCATGTTTTTCTGTTCATTGAAGGGTCTACCTAGAGAGTTCCAACAATGAATGAACTAATGATATATACGTGCACCCATACCTGTCTCTGTGTGTGTCTATATATTGTAATAACCTTCTTAGATCACTCAGCCATTCAGTTCAGGCCTTCCTGTTATTCCCTGTACCCTGCCAGGCACTGTAGGGGTGAATGGGGTCCTCACATTTGGGTTTTGCTAAGTGCTCATGGCATTTTCAGCTCAAAAATCAGACTTATTTATCTGGATGCACACAGTTCAGAATTACAGAATTGAAGGAGCCCCCCAAATTTTAGTCATCTTCCTTGCCCTGAGGTTAGTTTTTACAGAAACATAAATCAGAATTTTTCAAGTTTTGTTTTGGTTACTTTGAAAAACACTCTGTTTCATCAGTCCGATCTAGTAAGAGAAAATAAATTTTCTATAATGGTTTTTGTGAAACTGTTTGAAAACAGGAACAAAGTTAGGGCTGGGAAATGTAGCTTAGCATGCAACAAGCCCCGAATTCAGCCTTAGCACTAAATAAGCAAGCCAGAAATCCCAGCATTCTTGATGTGTAGGTGGGAGGGTGAGGAATTCAAGGTAGGTCGTCTTGGGCTACCATACCAATTTTGAGACCAGCCTGGGCTGCCTGAGACCTGATCTCAAAAGAAAAATGGAAACACTATACATGATTTTTCTTTTTCCAGTTAGATTCTATTTTTAGAAGAGTTAGAAAAAATTGCAAAGGTTATACAGTTTTTTTCACTAGTGTAATTTGAATTTGTCTTTTTTTTTTTTTTTTGGTTTTTTTGAGACAGGGTCTCCCTGTAGCCCCAGCTGTCCTGGAACTCACTATGTAGACCAGGCTGGCCTTGAACTTGCAGAGATCTGCCTGTGTCTGCCTCCCCAGTGCTGGGTTTAAGGCATGCGCCACCACGCCTGGCTATTTTTATTTTATATGTATGCGTGTATTGCCTGCATGTAGGTAAGTGCACCTGTGTTGTGCAATGTCCACAGAGGACAGAAGAGTCTGTCAGATCCTCTGGAACTGGAGTTATGGACAGTTGTTAGCTGCCTTGTGGATCTTGTGATTCAAACCCGGGTCTTCTACAAGAACAGCCAGTGTTTTTAAACACTGAGCCGTCTCTCCAGCACCATCTTGTTTTTTAATAGTAGTTAATAGGGCTGGAGAGATATCGTAGCAGTTAAGACCACAGGCTGCTCTTGCAGAAGACCCGGGTTTGAATCCCAGCACCCACATGGCAGCTAATTACTGTCCTAACTCCAGTTCCAGGGGATTCAGTTACCTCTTCTGACCTCCATGGCCATTGCACAACATGAGAGTACTTACATACATGCAGGCAATACACTCATAGAAACAAAAATTAAAAATAATAAAATAATAAAATATATAAAATGTAAAATAAAAAATAAAATAATAAATTTTTTTTGGGTCTTTTCGAGAGGTCTTTTTGAGGGTCTTCCTATAGCCCCAGCTGGCCTGGAACTCACTATATAGACCAGACTGGCCTTGAACTCATAGAGATCTGCCTGCCTCTGCCTCCCGATTGTTGGGACTAAAGACATGTGCCACCAAGCCCAGCTAATAAATCAAATACATATTTATTTATTTCTTTTGTTTTTATTTTATGTGTATGAGTATATTGTCTGCATGTGTATAAGTGCACCTGTGTTGTGCATGCCCATGGAGGTCAGAAGAAAGAGTCAGATCCCCTAGAACTGGAGTTATGGATGGTTGTTAGCTGCCATGTGCGTGCTGGATTGGAACCTGGGTCCTTGGCAAGAGCAGTCACTGTTCTTCACCGCTGACCCAACTCTCCAGCCCAATAAATGTTTTTTTTTTTTTTTTGAGACAAGGGTCTCCCTGTAGCCCCAGCTGGCCTGGAACTCACTATGTAGACCGGGTTGGCCTTGAACTCACAGAGATGCTTGAAATCCCAGCAGATACCTCCGCTGGGATTAAAGGCATGCATCACCATGCCTGGACCAATAAAATATTTAAAAATTTTTGTTTATGTGTCTGAATGTTGTGCCTGCATGTATGTAAATGTACCAAGCAATGCCCTCAGAGTCAGAAGAGGTTGTCAGATCCCCTAGAACTGGAATTACAGATGATTATTAGCTACCATTTGGGTGCTGAGAAGTGAACTTGCATCTTCTGTAAGAGCAGTGCTCTTAAACAGAGTCATCTCTCCAGCCCCAAGAATAGTTATATTTGAACTTTTTATTTGCATATACTAATTATACATGATGAATTTCATTATGTCATTTATATACATGTTTACATTTTGATCACTCCCCCCATTACTCTCTTGCCCCTCCTACTTCCAGTGATTCCCTTCCTGTTCCTAACTAGTCACCTTCTACTTTCATGTCTTTTTTTTCTTCCCTGTAGCCCCAGCTGGCCCTAACTCACTATGTAGACCAGGCTGGCCTTGAACTCACAGAGGTCCACCTGCCTCTGCTTCCCAAATGCTGGGATTAAAGGTGTGCGTCACCATGCTCAGCTGTTTTATAATTGTCTTCATTTATAAAGACTAAATTTTTTTTTGTTTATGTGTATGTATGTGTGCCTGCGTGAGGTTATATGCAACACCTGTGTGCAGGTGCTTGCAGAGGCCAGAGGGTGTGAGATCCCCTGGAATACCAGTTATGGGTAATTGTCAACTGCTTGATGGAGGGTGCTGAGAACTCAAGCTCAGTCCTTTGCAAGAGTAATAAGTGCTCTTTAATCACTGAGCCATTGCTCCATCCCCAATTTTATTCATTTTTATCATCATTATTAGCCTTCCTGTAGGTAGAGAGGTGGCAAAAAGCTGGTTTTATTCAGGTTGGTGTTTGCTAAGACACAACAAAACAAGAGAATTTAGGGACATTGCAAAACAATAGGTAAGATGAGAAAACTGTGCTGTCAAGATGGGGGTGGAAAATTAAGAAAGGATAATGGGAATATAACTCACTGGTAAAGGTTTGTTTAACATGTACCTGGCCATGGGTTCAATCCCCAGTACAAAATAAGAGGAATCATGATGAAGCTTATTTCCACGTATTTCAAGAAAGAGCTACGAAAAGAGAGGGGAAAAAAAACTGAAAAGAAAATTAAGAAAAGAGAAGCAATGAAGTTTTTAGTTTGTCATGGTAGCTCACACCTGTAATCCTAGGAGGGTGAGGTAGGTAGGAAAAGCCTTAGAAATTCAAGGCTGGCCCTAGTTACAGACTGAGGCTTTGTATCATCCTGCACCCCCCAAATAGAAGAGGAGGCTGATGGAAGGGGAGAAGTGATATGACAGTCTTTATTATATTATTATTTTTTAATCATTTTATTTTAGTTTGTCATGGTAGCTCACACCTGTAATCCTAGGAGGGTGAGGTAGGTAGGAAAAGCCTTAGAAATTCAAGGCTGGCCCTAGTTACAGACTGAGGCTTTGTATCATCCTGCACCCCCCAAATAGAAGAGGAGGCTGATGGAAGGGGAGAAGTGATATGACAGTCTTTATTATATTATTATTTTTTAATCATTTTAAATACACTGAAATGAACAATTTAATTTTTGGTACTAAATAAAAGCTTCAGTTGAGGGAATGAGTGACAGAATGGATTTTGGTGAATGAAGCAAGAGGTGTTCCTAAAGAGAAGCATAAAAATGAAATAACAGAAAAACAGTGTTCAAGAAAAGTTTATGAAAGATGGCTTCAAGACTCCCAAAATCATTTCAACAGGAATTTGAAAGAATAGATATAATAGTAAGAAAGCTAGTAGAATTTTCTAAAATGAAAGAAAGATAGATATTGTAAAGTTGAGTATTCAGCTGAAAAAAATTTCAATAAAGGTCGCCCTAAGGAACAGATCCTCAAACGACCTTAAGAGTAAAAATAAATTGTTTTTTCTTGGCCAACTGTATGGCCTTAAACACCTGAAAGGAAAGTATAACCAAAGATTAAAGGGGCCAATATAATTTGTTAAGAGTCCATATGTACATTAAAAGCTACATAACAAGCAACAATGCCAGATAGGAGATACCTTCTTTTGTTGTTGGCCAGGGTGGCCAAAGGGACTCCCAGATAGTAACCCGACATAGAACTGGGAAAGTGAACAGCAGACCCCAATCTTATCTAAAGGAATATAGACAACTGATTACTGCTAGGTGAGGAACAGCTGACCCTCCTAAAACAAAGACCTCTAGATAGGCTGAGTAGATTCACCAGAAGGGCAAGTAGTGGGGAATGGCTGGGGGTGCCGACAACACAGCAGACAGTAGCAGGGATATCAGAGTATAAGGGCTCTAGTTGGGGGGAGGGAGGCGATGAGAGGGTGCCATCTGGGAAGTGGGTGTATAGTTGAATAAGACGGTTTGGGATGTTTTGTGTGATACACACGCGCACACACACACACACACACACACAAATCAAATTTTTAAAAATGTATTTGAGGAGAAAGCATGGAAATTTACGTCATGCTAATTAGTAGAGGTGATAAGCATTACCATTGAAATCTACCCGATGACTTTATAGACATACATCGGTGCCAAGGATCCAAGTACAACGTATTATGACAGTCTTATGGTGGTAGGAAACAGTGTGATAGTTATTATCAAGGGAAAACATAAGCTACAAAGATGTAGTCAGTATAGGCTGTTAGTCATCTCAGAGATGGAGAGTTTTGTCTACCAACAAGGTCCAGTGAATGGCCAACTGCTTGCATGGGCTGAGTTGGCATAAAGAAAGTAATTGATTTGAGTTGTCAGGGTAGAGACAGATCCTTGCTTTCAGTGTTGAACATACATTGTATGGCAGAGAGGAAGCCTTTTAAAGCAGGGGCTAAAGTCTTCAGTAGAGTAAAAGATACTAATTGTCACATGGATGGGCACAGGATAGTACTACTGATTACCTGGATCCTCAGTGGAAGAGGGTTTTCTCAAAGGAGTAGGGAGAAACATCCAGAGCAGTAGCAAGGGACCAAGTTAACAGCAAGCTAAATCAGTATCCTGATCTTGACTGACTGGGAGGGCTAGCAGCCTCCTTTGAGGTAACTGTGGGTGGGGAAGACCTTAGAAGTTTCAAATAATGTGCTGCAAATGTTTGGAAAAACAGTTGTGAGTCAGGTGTGGTGTCACATGTCTTTAATTCCAGCTCCTGGGAGGCTAAGGCAGGTGGATCTCTGTGAGTTCTAGGCCAGCCTGGTCTATATAGCGAGTTCCAGGCCAGCTGGGGCAACAGGGAAACTGTCTCAAAAAACCAACCAACCAACCAACCAACCAACTAACAAAACAAACAACCAAACAAAAATAATTGTGAGGGATTATGTTATAGAGGAAAGGGTTCTAATTAGGGGGAGATGAAATACAGGAGAAGCATGTACAGGGCGTAATGCATGCAAAGCAAGCACTCTACCAACTGGGCTATATCCCTAGTATCAAATTTTGAGTTTTAATTCAAAGTCTCAGTGGACTGCATCGTTTTTGGATATACGTATAGGCTACTGTGGCAACAGAAAAACATTGTACTGTTGATGTTTGAAAAGATGTACACTAACAGGGAGTAGTTTCTATAAATAAAGTTACAGAATTTTAATTTAGCTTAATTTTTTTGGTTTGTATTTTGTATATTTTCTTTCTTTTTATTAAGAACATTGTTTTAGGCAGGGTCTGTAGCCAAGGTTAGCCTCAAACTCACTATGTAGTTGAGGCTGGCCTTAAACTTCTAATCCTCCTGTCTGCCTCCCAAGTACTGTAATTAGAGGCATCTTCCACTTTGCCTGGCTTTATTATTTTTTCCTTTAATAAAATAAAACTCTAGCAATGACTTACCTTTTAGAAAGACTCCATATATAGAAACCATTATAAAATGAGTTCAGAAGCAGAGTAAAATCATAGCAAGAGTTATTACTGAAAAAATGATTTTTCTCTTTAAATAATTGGGGATGGGCTGAGGATGTAACTTAGCTATAGACACTTGCATAGTGTGTCTAAGACCCTGGGTTCTCTATCCCAGCACACAAACAAAGGAAGGACAAATAGCTGGGAATCTGGAGGAAAGTGCTCAATTCCTACTGAGTCAACTCTTTGGGGAGACATTTTCAGAAACTACTTAGTGCTGACAAAGCCTGTCATTTAATTTAGACAATATGGAAACTTTTCACATCATAGCATAATATAAAGCGGGTCTATTAGGTTTGGTGAATCATAGAATGTTGCACTTTCTATGTAATTTTTCATATAACATTTATCTTTCATTTATACTAGACAGGACACTTAACTATCAAAAGGACTATTATGTGATCATTTTAAGTCTTTTTTATTACATTTATTCATTTATTATTATTGTATGTGGGGGGGCGTGTGTGTCTGTGTATGTATCTGCGTATGTGACAGTGCATGTGTGGAGGTCAGAGAACAACGTTGAAGAGTCTGTTCTTTTCTACCATGTAGGTTTCAGGGATAGAACACAGGTCGTTAGGTTTGGTGCACCTTTACCTACTGAGCAATCTCACAGGCCCTATCTTAAGTCTTTTTTTTTTTAGGAGATGAAATAGTTGATGTTAAAAAGAATCTTTTTATTTTTGGTCTTTTTGAGACAGAGTATCCCTGTAGCCCCAGCTGGCCTGGAACTCGATGTGGAGACCAAGCTAGTCTTGAACTCATAGAGATCTGCCTGCCTCTGCCTCCCAAGGGCTGGGATTAAAGGTGTGTGCCACCATTCCTGGCCTGTCTTAAGTCTTAAGATAGCTAATGCTTATAAAACATGTTGCAGTACTCCCTTAATAACCTTCGTATTTGGTTAGCAGAGAATCTGTCTTAAGGTTAGAGAGTTAGGGCTCTACTACTGAAACTTTTTCTTGAAAAAATAAAGTAGTATGGTTTGCTGTCAGAGTGAATATCAGAAAGCTAGGTAAAAACAGAAGTCAGTGTTTTTCAGATACCTGTTAGTGCCCTTTTCTTTTTTACTGTGTTTCAGACAAATGACCATGGAAACAGTTGAATCTCAGCAGGATCGAAGTGCGGCGCTTTCTGTGGCAGAGTGCAGCTCTGCTCATAAGCAGACTCAGACTCGTCAAATTTCTGTTCCTACTCTGGCTCAGGTAGGCCATGGGCAGGCACTGTTGAAAGTTATAATATATAGAAATGAGAATTGTGTGAGATTGTTTTCTTGCAGTTACCTTAAATATCCCATTTATTGATTTGACCTTGAAGATACTTTTGCATTATAACAGACAGTTGTTGATACCCTGACTTCCAGTGCTTTTCACTATGGGAAAGAAAGACAAACCTTCTGCAATATGTAATCCTCATATTAGTACTTGAGTAGTTTGCTAACTCCAAATATATACAATTCTAATACTCTTAGTTATAAAGTTGGTGGAAAATTTATTATTTTCCCATTATGTATTCAGATTGATCTTTATTTTCTTTTCTGTTAGTTTTTATTTTATTTTTTACAAGATCTCATTTATTTTATTTCTTTTCATGTTTTTGAGACAGGGTCTCCCTGTAGCCCCAGTGGCCTGAAACTTACTATGTAGACCAGGCTGGCCTCAAATTCACAAAGATCCGCTTGCCTCTGCCTCCAGAGTGCTGGGATTAAGGCGTGTGCCATCACGTCTGACTAGATCTCATTTTGTGTGTCATGCTGGACTGGAGCTCACTCTGTAGTGCTGGCTGGCCTCAGACTCAGACAATGCTCCTGCCTCAGTGTCCCAAGGGTTAGGATTATAAGCATGAACTACCACATCTGGCTTCAATTTGGTCTTAAACTCTGATTTGGTTTCATTCAGAGAAGACCAGTATCAATTAATTCCTGTTTATCAGCTTCTAAAGCTTATTTATGAGATACTTATATAAATATATAATAAGACAAGTAAATTTGTGTATTGATTAGTTTATCAGATACCTACTGAATCTAGGCATGGTTCTAAATGCATAGAGATTTAAATAAATCTTGTGGAGTTGTGAGGTTAGAAGGTATTTTAATTCCAGTACATATGAAGTGCTGTTAACTGCTGTGTATAGATAGTGTAAAAGAATGAAGCATATAGCAGGAAGCTAGGCAGGGGGAGTAGGAGTTTTCCGGGTGGCTCTGGGGAGGGAAGCATATTCTGCGCAGAGGAAAGAATGAATACAGAAGCACAAAGGCAGCCTATGGAATTCGAGAGAACTACGGAAACTATAGATAATCAGGATTTGATGGGAGTTTAATGGGAGTCCAGTGTTTAGGCTGGGAAGTAGAATTGGTAAAGGTAAGCAAACAGCTATAGATATTTGAGATTTTAGAGTATCCTGTGCTAGAAATAAGCTTTCATATTCATCAAGTTTAGAATACCAGTAGCCGAGTGGAGATGGGGTTGGAGGTCAGTGAATAAGTAGGGGGACATCACTAGGGTATATGGTTAATCACGGCAATGTGGGGTGCAGAGAACTATAATCTTTAAAAAATTTTTTTTAATTGAATTTCTGTCTATTTCATACAGAACATCTTTTTTTTTTTTTTTATTTTTTTGAGGCAGGGTCTCCCTGTAGTCCCAGCTGGCCTGGAACTCACTGTGTAGACCAGGCTGTCCTTGAACTCACAGAGATCCAGAGATCCACCTGCCTCTGCCCCCAGAGTGCTGGGACTAAAGGTGTGCACCACCATGCCCAGCTTCATAGTAGAATATCTTAACTTTATACCCCCTACCCCACTGGCACCCACCTATAGTGCCCCCACAGTCATTTGTGTTAAGGCTTGTCATGTCAAGTTGGTGTCCTCAGACATCCCTCAGTGCAAGTTCATCCACTGAGGTGTAGTCAGCTTATCTAGAATCCTTCCCTTTAAGATCAATTCTTCCTCATTCAGGAGTGATCAGCTGCCAATAATTCTTTGACTAAGATTAGGGCCTGCTGTCCATTTCCACAGTTCTGTGCTGGGGTTTTTGTTGGGACTCAG